TGATGAATGCCACAAAGGCCACAAAGGGTTATAGAGCCATGAAGGGTCATAAAGGACAGAAAGTCTATAAAGGGCTGTAAAAGATATGGAAACCATAAAGAGCAATAAAGTTTTTGAAGGGTAGTAAGGGTCATGAAGGGCCGCAAAGGCTATAAAGAGCTATAAAGGACACAAAAGGTTATAAAGACAATGAAGAGCGACAAAGATCACAAAGGGCCATAAAGACCATGAAGTGCGATGAAGGCGATGAAGGGCCGTAAAGGCCGCGAAGGCCATGAAGGCCACAAAGGGCCATAAATACCATGAAGTGTTATGAAGGCGATGAAGAGCCATAAAGGCCATGAAGGGTTGTAAAGGCCATGAAGGCCGTATTGGCCATGAAAGGTTGTAAAGGCCATGAAGGCCGTAAAGTCCATGGAGGGTCGTATTGTTCATGAAGGCTTACAAGGGCCACAAAGGTTATTAAGTTTCACAAGGGCCATGAAGGCCCGTTAAAGTTGTGAAGGCCGTAAAGGTTATAAAAGCCATGAAAAGGCTACAAGGGTCATAAACATCGTGAAGGTCATGAAGGCTATAAGGGAGAGAGAAGGGTCATAAGGCGATGAAGGTCATGAGGGGGTCGCCATTACACACACCGGGGGGGAATAATGTGATTCCTGTGGCCGCGCGGCAGCATTGGGCATTGGCAAAAGGTGTAATAGAGCAAGGGGGAGGTGGCCACGCATCTCCATGTGACAGGAATAGAGAGGAGAGGGAGTCGTGCCGTGGCAGTCGGTCGGAACGTGAGTCATTTGGTCGGACACGCAGAATTTGCATTGCTGGCAGTTCTATTTGGGAAAGCGTATTTTGCATGGTGCTGGGCAGAATCGTATCCCATGTTAGTATGGCCAGTAGGACACTGACTAACTGCTGTGAAGGCTGCCCAATGCAGCGCCATGCGTCAGGCTCTTCCTTGCTTGGAGCCAAAAATGATGGCAAAGGGTGAAGGAACAGTGTAATCTATGCGGTTTGCATCCCCTAACCCAACAAACTGTCACATTCCTATAGGAGTTGATTAACGTGGCCAAGAAGCAACAAGGCATTCCATGTCATTGCTGATGAAGGTCTTTTGCTATGTTCAAAAGATAGGACGCTATTATCCTGGCTATTGCACAAAGCTGCCATGTGCGTGAATTGCTGCTTTCCTGATAACTACCAACGATTGCCAAAAAAGCATGTCAGTTCATTCTCCCTCCCTGGCGTCCTAAGACCTGTCGCCGGGAAGTGCATTTGGAGTTCAGAAGGAGTGGAGAGAATACTGCCTGTTTCGAAAAAGGTGCTGATATAAAGAAGCCTTCTCATATCCAGTGCACCTCTACCATACAGGTCTCAAAACCATGGCCACAGGTCGCTCATAATCCCCTCGTAAATTTTACCAACACACGTTGGCAACCTTGTTTATCATGGTTGGCGATGGGAGCAGCCCCAAAGGCTGTAAATTGGTCTATTAGGTCAATAGGGTTTCCTCGAAGGTTGAAAGCTTGAGGGAGGTTTGGGAGCAAGTCATCCGCCGTCTGGCACTGATCAGGGGAGTCTACGTGGATCACAGCTACATGGTCGCTTAGTGTCCATGCCCTGGAGCACACCCCACACCACCCCCTCGTCCTTGCGGCCGTTGCCCATCAAGCATACAAAATTCGAAATATCGTCTTCCATAAGACGAAATCGCATCCTTCTTAGCGCCCTTCAGAAGTCGCTGTCATTTGACGGTCTCAAACAGAACGTGGCGCATGGGGGCCACCATGTTGTGGGAAAGAATATTGTGAACGACATGGCAATGATGCGCTAATGAGAAAATTGGATAAGCAGTCGACAAAACGCCCGCGCGCCTGCGACCTTGAGAGCGGCGCCCGTGAGCTGACAAACCATGAACTGCGTCGCCCATTCATGAAGACACCCTCTGGGAAACCTACCCCCTTCAATGACACTTGGGAAGCAAGATTTCGTCACTCGAGCGGGCACAACATAGTGCTTTAGAGCACAACAGACTCGAGGCACCGCACTACTCCCTGTCGGCGCCATATCGGAAAGCCAACGCGGCGAGGGCTGAGGAAGCCTGCAACAAGCTCGCCATTCAGGCGCATGGTAGAATTACTAATGGCTGCGAGCAGACTGGCTCTCCAAATACGAGGAAACCTCGTCGTGTCCTTGCTGCTGCGCCCAAATCAAGGCAGTGCTTCCCGACTGCAATGCACAGAGATCCAAGTCAGAATCAATGTCAGGTGCAGAGCGCCAGCGCCAGGGTCTGAGTAGACCCGGGAACGATTGATGGCGTGAACATGTAAATTGTTAACGCCACCAATTGCTCACTTGCTCATTGTCTCCATCGATCTGCGTACAAAAGGATACATTTATACAAAATATATACTTCAAAAGTTTTGCATGTGCAGCACATCGCAAACTGGAAATCCACGTTACAAACCGTAATGGTTCCCTTCTAATCTAAATCTACTGTTCATCGAGGAGCGTCGGCAAGAAAAAACCTTTTGCCGATCCCAAGAGCCACGTCGCCTCGCGCACGTTACCAAGCTTTTTTCGTTTTGAATTTTTGGTACTTTGATTGTTTATTCTCTGAAATTAGATTCGCGATGGAAAATGTCAACATATTGGCCAGTTCAGTTCGTGTCAAAACCGCGTTGCACCGCTAAAGGTCGCGCACGGAGCTGTTAGCTGTCCTTGGGCGGAACCAAATCTGGACCTTCCTCGGCGTCATGTTTCGATACCTTGTTCGAATGGTCGATGCTGGCGCGCTGCGCCGTCAGCAGTTGTACAATTCTCTTGCTTCCTGTGAAAGCCGCCATCATCAAAGCAGTGGAGCCATCCTGAGGGCCCAAACACGTTTCGGTCATTTCGCACCCATCAATGAACCAATCAGTAAGTGAGGTAACCAAACAATCATTCAATCAAGAATCGATCTATCAGTCAATTAGACTCACACACCAACAAAGGTCACACCGCCTGGAGCACTGTGAAACAGGACACCTCGCGTGCTACTCGAACTGGTTTTCTTCCCCAAGTATGGCACACAGAAGTAAGCAACTTGAGAGGTTGTTCAACAACACCTCCTACACTGGGCATCAGTTATGCAGTTCCTGCTTTTGTGGCGGGCACGATACGCACGGAATGGGCCGTTGAGGGTACGTCGCTGACAGGAAGCATGTACATCTGGTACGACACAGCGGCGGACGTTTGCTTCAATTCACCGAGCGAACCCGAGACGCCACATCCCTTGCACAACAAGAACTATGAAGCGCCATCAAGGGTACAATACGCATCATATCCTTCCATCAACTGCAATGACAACGATTGTGTAAGCACAAGCAAATAGACGCAATTCTATGCACATTTCGTACATGCTGTTGCAATGGATGTGCGTGGATCACAACAGTATACCACATGCGAGAACACCAACAAAAGAACTGCAAAGGTGCCTTCTGACGTGCCTTTCTGGGTTTGTCCACGTCTGCGCCAGCCTTCACTAGAGCCCGTGCGATCTGATATTCTCCTTTGTGCGCCGCGACGATAAGCGGTGTGGCACCAAGCTGCGCATGCACATCCACCGAGCGCAGATGTGGGAATCTTGCGTGAACATCAATGGCACGGACAGCGACACTAACAGAACTATTACAGTCACTGCTGCTATGTCTTTCGTGTGTTTATTTATTTTGAAAAAATGAACGTAGGCAAAAAATAACAGTAGAAAAAGCGCAGGCAAAAATGCTGGCAACAAAATGTTGGCGCAGGGTTTCGACGCCCTCATTTGAAAAATGATGTACAGGTCGATGCAATTTGTGCATACAATATTGTTGACGCAACGCCGAAAAACAGTCAGCAAAGTGTATGGACGCAATGTTTGCACACACATCAGCGCCTGTCAGTATTGAAATGTAGGGATTTGCTGAAGTGTTGCCGCGCATCGCATCAATCGCAATGCAGCCACCGCAGTGCATCAGCGTCTACCCTATTTTCCAGATGCCCTGCACATCACAATTGGGTCGCCGACTTGCCATCGGCGAGAAACTACGTCTGATTAGACATGCTTGGTCTTTACCACGCAACACACAGCGTGCCGGCGAGTATTACAGGTAACAATTGGGACTTTCCTCGTTAGATGCGTAAACAGCGTGAGCACATGCCCCCGTGTGCAACACTATGCGAACACCCACAAAACACATTTCATCAATTTGATCGACTTGTTGGACTTTAAAAGTCCTGCACGCTGAGAACGCAAAAACAACACAGACCCGTAAGCTTTGTACATGTTTGAACACGTGTTATTTGGCCCTTTTTTCATAGTGCATAAGGATAATCCACACATACTCAGTGAATCCGAGGACCGTCAGCCAGATGCGCTGGAGGGTGCAGATGGCGATTTTTGTCGGACGACAACATCGCCCTTGCCAAGGGCGAGGTGTATGTTGTGTTGCGGGTGTTCGAGGGGCGCAGAACTGATCACTGTTTGGGACTTTCTCATGCAACCTGGATGCCTCAACGCGCCTCATGCTACATAAATATAGCCTTTTGTGCTTCCACATTCGACACATGAAAACGCAAACGTAAAACGGTGCCATAAACATGGAGACCAAGCCTGTGATTGAGCATCAATTTCGATAGTCAGTCCATGTAAACATCTGAGCCCGAAGAAGTGCATGGAGCATCAGCTTCTCTACAGTCCCAACAACGGTCGACGTCGCCGGATATCCGGTCGTCAGGCGGTGGCAACGTCGCCGACCCCTGCCCCGCGGCGACGGTGGGAGAACTGAGAGCCCTGCCGACGCGGCCGACGGCCCCCACTAGGAAAAAAAGGGCCAAATAACACTTTTGCGAAAACACATAAAACACATTTCATCAAAGTTCTACACGCTAAGAACACAAAAATAACACAAACCCGTAAACTTTGTACACGTTTGAACACGGGTTATTTGGCCCTTTTTCCCCTAGTGCCCGGCGTCCTTCCATACCACTTTGCAACAATTCCCGCGGACGCTGCTGACGCCCAGCCATCCTTTAATCCAATTTTCGGCGATGTTGCCGGGGGTTGTGCCGCCCTCCCGGCGGCGTCGCCGGCGGTTGGGCCTTTTCTCGTCACCTTAATGCAATATTGAAATTCGGCACTTGCAAATCCCGATTTGACATTTACTTCGAGTCGACTTGTCCAATTGGGCGCATGCACTCGGCGGCATTTTGTTGATCAAAACGAGTTCACCGATGGGCCACCCAGTGTGGGTCTTGTATCCTATTCTACCCCAAGGGAAGTTGAAATACTTTCAGAAATGTGCATTTCCTCATGCGAATGGTTCTCATGACAATTCGATCCTGTCGGCCGCAAAAGAGTTTTATTGTGGTTCACGCCACATCAGGCGCCACTGACTTTGTGCAAAAACGCCATAGCAGTGCGGTGGCAAACAAAATCCAGCTTCGCCAAGTTACCAAACGCATTTTACTAACAGTTGCTAATACTAGAAAATTGTTAGCGAATAATTTCAATATAATGTCCACGTGTTACAGTAATTACAATTGATTCCCGATCTGAAATTTGAAATTTGAAATTTGCACATCCTGCTTGTTACCGTAACATCAGTCAAAATAGCTGGGAGCTGACCAATGGAATGAAAGTTTAAAGGCATGCACTGCGGATCCCTCCCTGAATTAGATCCTGATTAGCTAACATAAGTTATAACCTCTATTCAGTACTTGGTATTTCTATGTTACTCACCAAATACAATTTGATTTTAACAAACTGTTTGGAAACAACGGACAAACGCAGAAATGACAGACATGCATTCATCTGTGCGCATAAGTTTTCGCCCAGTACATAAGAATCTATTCGACAGGCGTGTTCAGATAATAAGGAAGTTTAATATGCGCTAGTACCTCATGAACACACAGGCAATTCAATCAACATAAACGAATTGACGAGTCCTATAAAATAACGCTACGCTTCTGCAGTTCCCATTGTAGAAACTCTTGATTATTCTCAAGCGACAAAGGCGCCCCATGGCGACTCCATTGCGAGTACAAGTTCGCTTCCCACCGCACCTCTGTGTTGGAGGCATGATTGACATCCGCATTCGCTTTAATCAGGGCCTCCACCACCTCCATGTGCTTATTCTGCACCGCAATGTACAGCGCAGTAGCGCCGTCCTGCAAGCAGTGATTTGCAGAATCTGGTAAATCAATAATTATTTGCTAATAATAATTTGGTAATCAGGCGCCCTATTGTCGGACATTTATGGCGTTGCTGTACAAGCGCTTCTCCAAGACATCGATTGCTCGTCGTGAGCTGCTGCGGCCCGAGGACGCAGCCGAGCTCCGGGACACCCGTGCAAGGGTGCTTTCAGTCTTGCGGACAGCTGCACTGTCGACCTGAGGGTGCTCTAGCAGTATTTGCCATCAGTCAGCATGTTGTCACAATTGCAAGATGTGAAACGGGAATTGCTGTGATGTGCTGTGTGCGCAAAGCACATTTGTGTGTGCAAAGCGCATTTGTACGTGCAAAGGGCACTTGTGTGCACGAAGGGCAGCCGGCATGGTTTGCTCCCGTGGCCAACCAAGAAGACCGTGCGAGGCAAAACATGGAAACACAGTCCACCCACAAGTCTTCAATTGGTTGGCCAGGGCACCAACGCGACCAACGCTTGCGCCCAACCAGCACCTAGGGCGGGAAGACAGTGAGTCACCAGTTGTCATGCGCGAAATCCTGTTCCCTTTTCTTGGAGAGCGCTGTGGATTACGAGCTTCTAATGACACGTAATCTGGGCCACAGCAACCAGAGAGCGCATGCAACATGTGATGAGAATTTCAAGCCAATCCGAGCAAAACTTGCACCGGTCGCCGATTTGAGATTTGGGTGTCTACTTGGGGTCCAATGGGACAAGGGTGGGCCACTAAATATGGTGACCTTGTCATGGAGTTCGCCATGATTTGGAATAAAGAGTAGAGTTCGTGAAGTAACTTTGCATGTGCATCATGACAGGTGCATTTCCTGTTCTGAGCGTGAGACTGGCAATATACAGCCGCTTTCAGCATCCATCTCAATGTCCACACCTTGTTTGTGGAGTGCACATTTGCGCCTCGTTGTAGGAGAAGGTTTACCACATCGATTTCCCCCTTTTGTGCTGCAATGAAGAGAGGCGTGGTGCCATCCTGTATCCACACATGCCAGGACGTAACATTGCCGAGTAGAGTGTGAATATTCATCAAGACACAAAAGTCGGAAATGGGAAACTCTGAGAAATGATGACATGTGCCTTTGCCTTGTGCCCATTGCACTATCATTAATGGCATTCAACTCCAATCACAATCTTTGGAAGTTAAGACATGATGTGCTTCATGCACAGCAGGCTAGCAGTGCCAAAAAGGATGGTGTAGTACACCAGGTTACAATTATTTGACTCCTGTGGCTTCTTCGGAACTCAGTAGCCCTTTGTCATGATACACATTTGCGTTCCACACTTCCAATTGTCGAAGGAAGTTTGACTTCACCATCCTGCCTTGGAAGCCACTCTCCCAATCATCTGCCACTAATTAGGGTGATGACCGTTGCATTCTGTCACATTCTTGAGGGGCTTGGGAGGCCTTGCACAATATGCCTCATATCAACGATAGCTCAAAGGTCACAGCCCCAAATCTGGGCCGAAAATCCATCCCCAGATTGGCTAATCGATCTTGAACTGCAGCTGCAAAGCCACTGTGACATCCATAATCAAACTTTCCAGGATGCATATTCGACCGCATTGCCTCTCACTCTGCCAGGTGCTCAAGAAAGCATCCCAATGGCGTCCCAATAGGCGTCATTTATTGTCGTCTGGTGCCAAAAATGGCAATTTCCACTAGTGCCTTCGTGGAGACCTCTTTGAGCTTCTGTCCAAATGGCATGGATCGTTTTGCATAAGTGGCTTTGTCCTGCTGTCGTGATGGTGTGCTCCTCACATTTGCGAAAATGGTCGCTTTGGTCATTTCGTTGAAAACTGGATGGGTTTATGGCCGTAGAACACTTACTACAAAGTAATACTTGGTAATACTATTACCAAATTCTGAATGCTTAGTGGTTTGGCTTGATTTTTTGACCGTACATTCCAGACTCATAGACACAGCTCTGGCAAAAGTTTGATTGAAAATCGAAGCTTATATCATGGCCCATAAGGGCGCCAAAATCAAAGATAAAATTCAATTCCGTAAAGAGGAAGTACTTAGCACTTGACCTTGTACACAGCATTGCAAATGAAACGCTCCTTCTCATCCCCACGCACCACTGTCATCCAATCCACCGTTGCCCTGGCATTGATCAAGACTTCTGCAATTTTATCATGTCCAAATCGTGCTGCGATGTACAATGGTGTGGCACCATTCTGAAATACACAAAGCACACATCCAAAATTGCGTTTTTTATTCTAGATTTCAAATTACAGGAAGAAACAACACACAACAATCCCCATGTATGAGTTCCACTTGCACACAATTTGCCCAATGCAGATTAAGTGCACCAACAACATGTACGCATATGGAGACACGCTCTCTTTACATGCAATGCCTCTGTCACAATATCAATCCATATGGAAAACGACAAAATGGAGTCCTTTGCAGGGTAAACAAGTTAAAAACAATAAGTATAAGTAGTAAATAGATAAATAAATAACAAGTAACATATATACATATATACATACACACATTAGTGCCATTTATTTTCTTTGCATTTATACAGCTATTTCGAATCATAACCGTTCTAGTCGTGCGACATTGTCAACTGCATCACCACCATCAGAACTTTCTGGCACAAGCTGAGGAGCAGGCCCATTTTTCTGATTCTGCTCTGAGCAGATTTGCAATAATATAACCTCCATTCATCAAACTCCCTAAAATTATCTGTCTGCACCTGCTTCAATGTGTTACAATGCTGTAGCTAGCCGTAACTTATGTGCTTTTTATAGTGCAATGCATTTTGCTGTCAGCAAAGACTGAATGCTTCAGTTCGACAATGGTGCAATAACACGTCCTCTTGCACATTGGTTTGCAGCAGCTGTCCCCAAAGGCTCGCAATTCGGTGGCATACACATAGGTCTGTGTCGCTTGTGTGCCGCAAAATATATTAATATGCTATAATTACAAACCCATCAGTGGGCGCGGTGGTGCGTTCTCCCTTCGTTGTTCCCAGGCCTGAGTGTGCTTAGCGCATGGCTGCAACATCTTGACCAGGAGAAATGGTGATTTAACCATTCTTCATAATATATACCTATATGCATATGTGATATCAGGATACATTAGTAATATATTCAGACGCATCACCACAGGTATACCTATACCTATTGAGACGCTTCATCAAGGCATTTACAACATATCAATATCATGATACTACAACTGCAAATAATGAAACGTTCTCACCATCACTGTGCAGCAAGCAGTCTAAATCTTCATGCACAACGAAAATCGGATTGTGATAATTACGGCGTACTGTAGTTTTCATTATAATGGGAGCTATTTAGCATTTACATAGTCATGAACAGAATAGAAAAGAAAAAAAAGAAAAAAGAAAAAGGCTGGCAGGATCCGCATAACCAGATATTTCCACAATATCAGAGATCTCATGAGGTGGTCACCTGCGATATCGCATCTGACGTCTGAAGCATTGTCGATGGAAATCTGACCACGCTGGCATGTAAAACAAGGTAGAATCTATTTCAACCAAAACACAGTGAGGTGTATGCACGTGCAATGATTGCAACAGCACCTGTTCTGTAGACGTTATGTAAGCATGCTCTGTGCTGACAGGTACAATGTACAACGGTCCGTACGTACCTCATCTTTGGCGTCGACGTGCACTCCGCTCTTCAGCAAGCTTTGAACAACATCAATCTGTCCACTCCGAGCTGCCTGCCTTAATTGCGCCTCATTTTCCTGCCCAATTTACAACGAATCTCCTCAGCTGGCAGCATCAATAGCAAGGTTTATGCCACCACTGGGTCCTCCTTGAACGTCAATCAGGGCAACGACAATGAATGCAACACTACACATGTTCTATTCGTTTGCTATACCATACAGCATCTAAATATTGTCAGCGCATTTCATGCATATCATAATTGCCTGGTATTATTATCCGCCACCTACCAGTATTCATTCCCTTTTTTGGGGGGTTCCAAACCACATTAGTATCCATGACCCAGTGTTAGTGTCCACCCTAACCTCAACAGAAACGAGCTCAAGAGGGCCCATTGGACTTGCCTTGAGGTGAGGAAGCTAGTTCGAACATCTTTGCTTGCACATCTTTGCTTGCACAGCGCCCTTGTTGCATGTTTTCAACATGCAGCAACTGCAGCAAACTGCTCACCCCCCTAGCACCAATACGATATATTTGATGGCTGCAAGCCTCTCAGTTTGAGCAGCTAATGTGATGGGAATAGAATCTGGTTTTGTTTGTCGCTCTGTAACTTTGACTTGGTGAAGTTGCTATCTATGCATTGCATGTTGCATTATTTCCATCCTTCGGACATTTTGCCACTCAAATTTCAAAAATTTCCTTTTTCACTCCTTGGATCAGGGCCTCAGCTGCGTTAGTATCCGTTACCCGGTAGTAGCATCCTTGGCCCACGATTAGTATCCACCGTTCATTTTGGGGGTCCAGTATACATACACTAATAAGGGGCAAAAACAGTACTGAAATAAAGAAATATGCTTAATTATTAATGGCAACAATAGCAACAATAATGGGTATGGTGACGACCACCATAAGCAGGTTGGGTCTCTGTGATCACGGAACCATTTTTGCACTTGCCTTTTTATGCTTAATAATGCGTATAGCAGACAAATAGCTTTACTTCGGTATTTTTATGCCGCTTTGAGACAACGAATTTATGTTGCAAAGTCGCTAACAATGATCAGTCTTCTGCCCCTCAAGCACTCACAGCACAGCGTTCACCTCGCCCTCGGCAAGCGCAACGACGTCACCGAGCAAAAGGTCGTATTCTGCCCACTTCAGCATGTCTGGCTGCCACTTCCTGGACTACCTGAATCTGTCTGTACTGTTTAGATGTACGCAAGACCTATATATATGGACTGTTACAAGCTTTTACGGGTAAAGACATATATGCTAGATTTACACACAAGCATGTAAAATACATGCTGTGGCTGTGCTGTAACGACCAAGCCTGAAAATGGGCACTGTTGCTAGACCTGTTCCTGGCTCTTTGTTGGGATACATCGTTCCCATCGAACCTGCTATTTTTTGCACATTGTCTGACATGTTGCTGTGCTCCTGCGGTGTGCCTCAGCACCTGCTGTATTACAAACAATTAAGATGACTATTTCAAGTTAGTGGCCAGCTGTTGCTCATTCCGCTTTTGGCCCATCATCCCTATTCTTGGGCCGTCAAGGCAGCCCCAACTGCCGAGAATCAACAACAGCACTTGCATTTGTATCTGTTGCTGGAGCCATAGCCAATCTGGCCCAGTTCTCAATCAATGATGTGAACTCTAAGGGGTACAAATACCAATAAATTATATTCACACTGCTCATAAGCTTCCTCAAGGAGGCCATGTGTGCCACCACACAATTCAAGTACATATATGACAAATAAATAAATAAATAAACAAATAAATAAATAAACAAATAAACAAATAAATAAACAACAAACAAACAAACAAATAAATAAATAAGCAAATAAATAAATAAATAAATAAATAAATAACAAAAAAAAACAAACAAACAAACAAACAAATAAAAAAAACAAACAAATAAATAACAACAAGTAAATAAATAAATAAATAAATAAATAAATAAATAAATAAATAAATAAATAAATAAATAAATAAATAAATAAATAAATAAATAAATAAATAAATAAATAAAGACAACAGACAAATAAAGAACAGAGAAAAGGAGAAACGAAGAAATGAAGAAATGAAGAAATGAAGAAATGAAGAAATGAAGAAATGAATACTTCTCATAGTAGCAAATCGCAGGTCACAAATCACAAGTTTACCAGCTTATGTGCATGCTGCATACCTCTTGGTTGCCCCCAATGTTGGCTACTTTGTCCATCCGTGCAGTCAATGTGCCAATGTCTTCGGTTGTTGCTGCTCTTCCTGACATTGTTTTGCCAGTTTTCTCCTGCCCACAGCAGCCACACCGTACCACGCCTCATTGTCACCATCAAGATGTCCCACAAAACAGCATCCATCAACCAACGTCTAAGACATGGGAATTAAACGGTGGAAGGACTTGGCAGCTGTTCTGAGACAAGCCAGTGAGGCATTGCTGCCCAATAATGGCACCAAAAATACATTTCTGTATATTTGTCTATTCGAATATATTGTAAAATGTTCAAATTAACGTAGTACTTCTCTGTACCAGTAAAAGAAGTATAGATGCTTTGATGAATATGCTTTAACTCACAATTTATGTCTTCTATCCTGTCACTCTGGTCCTGTTGCAACAGTTTACACTGTAAACTCACAATTTCAAGTCATTCAACGCAATTGAAACGTGGAACTGCATCGTGAAATATACTACAAAGTGTGCAAAATTAATCAGGCCCCTACCAGTTTGCACCAACCTGCAGTGGAAATCTCTCACCTTGCCGGTTCTGTGCTCCCCAAACACCCAATCATCGGGCAGCTGCTGCAGCCTCTTGTTCACCTCCTCCATTGTCGGTCTTGCTTCTGGGTCAGCAGCGCAGCACAACCTCATGAGCTCCAGCGCTGCGGGTGGACAGTCCTTGTCCTGGATCTGGCACGGCTCCTCCTCTGCGAGCTTCTTCACCATTAGCACATACTGGGTGGTTCCATACCCACCATAGGCCTTTTTCCCACTGACGACCTCATAGCACAGCACCCCGAAGCTGTGCACGTCCGACTTGGAGGTGGTGGGCTCACCGTGGTAGAACTCAGGGGCAATGTACTGCAGCGTGCCATCGCCCATCCTCACCGTCTTGCTCCGGGATGCTGTCTCCATGACGGTGAATCCGAAGTCACTGATCTTGAGCTTGCAAGTCTCAGGGTCAGTGCCGAACACAAGGAAGTTCTGCAGCTTGACGTCCTGGTGCACCCGACCCTTGAAGTGCAAGTAATCCAGGGCCGTGCTCCCCTGACGGAGCAGCCTCACCTTGGACCTCCAGGGCAGCCCCTTGTCAGCAAAGCACAGTGTGTGCAGGTCACAGTCTGCCCTTTCCAGTACCATCCCCCCTGAGGAGGTGGCGGCCAGGAGCTTGACAATTTGTGGATGGTCGTTGATGCCAGCATGAAAGATGATCTCCTTGGAAAAATCGGCAAACTCCTCAATGGGCAGTGCGCCCTGCCCTGCCATTGGGCCCCTCCAGATGGGCTTCTTCACAGCGACATCCACCGAGCCCCACTTTGCTGCGAATACCGCACCCTGGCCGCCTTCACCTAGCTGCTCTCCAATCTGGAGCTCACCTTCATCGATGACCTGTGCAAGCCAAGTGGAGCTGGAATGAGGAAAAATATGGATGGAACCTTGGCAAACACCTTCAAAACTTGGGCCAAATGCAAGCCTCAACTTGAGATATGCAGTTGTGCAAGTGAGTGATGGCATGTGAGTGATTGCGGGACAAACAGTAGACACAATGTTCTTGTGCAGTTACGAGGCAGCATAGCACTAGTTGGCTGACATGCAATTAACGGCACTTCATTAGTACCATGGATATACCATTAAAGGTGCAAGGGCAGTATGTACAGTTGGTACTCCACAATACTTCAGTCAGTCCTTCAGTGTTTCAGTCAGCATGTCAGTGCCATGTCAGTACGCCTCTGTGGCTCAGCACTTCACTACTTCATCTGTCAGCCCTGCCTGGCAACTGCACACTGTCATTCAATACTTCAGTCAGCACCGCACAATAATTCAGACTTTTGCAGTTCAGCGAATGCAAATCGAACAAGACTGCACACCTTAACCTTCATGCTCTCTGTATGGCAAGCCTTAACCTTCTCCCAGCGCTCCATCAGCTTCTGTTCAATACAGCATGGCACGTCCTTTAGCACGAAGTTCAGGAGCTTGTGCAGGAGTTCCTGGTCTTCTTCCACATCCTTGTTTGGTACGCTATCTTCCAAGCTCGCCTTTTCCTGCAATCTCCAGGCCTTCAGTGTGTCCTTCAGGATCCCACAGATCTTCTGCACAGCATCGCGGGCGTCGCTGGTCTTGTAATAGTCCCTGACGTCAAAGTGTTGGGCATGCTTTCTTAGCAGGCGCTTGCCCTTTCCCACCTCCCTCTCAAAGCTGGCTTTCTGTGGTGTGGCAGGTGCCTTGAAGCCCTCCAGCTTCTCCAGCTGGGCATCCAAGAAGCACATTATCTTCACATTGTACAGAGCATCTTGGCCCCTTGGCAGTGCCTGTTCACCCGAACCATGCCATCATTGCCTGTGACATGCTGTGATCACACATAACATTTTCCAACACAGGGCAAACATAGCCCCTTCATTTGTGAGACGATGTTGGGCACAGTAATTGATGCATTGTGGACTGCTCACAAACACAGCAGGTGCTGCCCCATGAGCTGCCATTATTTGCTCAATGCAGTGACATGCCACCCTCCCCCTTTCCAATCTACTTGTGGTTGATACTTGCCCTCTGCTCTGGCTGGGTGATCGTCGTAACCAGGCACACTGCGACATCGCCTCCCTTTTCAAAGTGGGGTTTTGTGCAGTACCGAGCGCCAATACCACAGGTCAAATCATGGTGACCCCGCGTGCCACAAAATGTGCTGGTTGTCCCCCAGTGCCATCCGGTCCCTGCCAACAGAGTACTGCAACACGCTACTTTTCTACGCATTGGCCAAGCTCTGTGCCGGCGCCCAAACCGCCCAGAGGGCCATCCAGGGATCTTCAGGTCAAGATCAGGGGCAGTCAAATTAGACCAATAGTCAAGATCTAGATCGACCAATGTCTTGGTCAAAGTCACCCACCAAAGCTGCCCACTTGTGGGGAAGCAAGACCAATGGGCCCGCAAGCGCTGTGCGATTCAATGCCCGATCCAGAGGACAGGAGGTTCCTGTCGGTCACGCCCGGACGCCTCAGGGGTGGGAATGTGCCAACCGCCCCAACTCACAGGACTCTAACCACCAGGATGCCGATACATACCCTTGCGTGACGCGTGCGCTATGCGACATGCCACTCCACCGGTTGCGGCAACGCGCCAGGCGAGGCCAGCCTCGTGCCAGGTCGGATACTCTCGCATTAGATCACAGCTCGTTTGCCCACGTGCACCGCGGAGGCGCCCGATCGCCGCAATTCGCAGGCCCAGCCTCGATCGGAACAGGACAGCAACGCCGGCGGCTCAACCATCGGGATCCGAAAACAAATAGTGGGTTCGGTGGCGGCGACACACTGGGAGGCAGGATCCAAAATTGCCACGTATGCACCAAACAGATTCCAGACTCCTGTGGGGCGCGAGCGTCCGTTCATTTCGGCGGTCTTGAGGTCAGGGGCGCCTTCTCCACTCGCCTCGACTGCCGACTCGTCCTCCATTGCGACTGCGGGGCAGACGGCGCCACGAAGCGCAACCCAGCCCCTGGGGCCTCGCGGGCGTCGGGGAATGCGGGTGGGTCGGTGGCGCCCCGGTGCTTTAGTAATGTGCCGCAGCGGAACCTGGGCAAAATTGTCCACGTTCCTTGGCCATGTCGACACGAAGGACGAAGGACGTGGGCGAGGACGTGGAATGCGGTGTCGGGCCCAGCGGCTGTGCAGACCGGCGTGCGGGCTGACGAATCTTCCAGCCGGCGGCTGGTGTACCGCCGGAACCGACACGCTGCTGATCTGGAGGGCGCTGACGGCGACGGAACGCGCGTGCCACCGGGGGGCTGATGCCCCGCACTCCTGGACTCCGCGTCTGCCTGCTGCCCGAATGTGGTATCGTGCACCACACAAGCCGCATTTGATGGTCTGACTGAATGAAAGCAATGTGCCAATCAGCATCCGGAAATTTGGTAGGCGTTGATGCAATATTGACAGCCCCTTGCATGAAAGCAGCTCTACAGGCGCGAGCTCTTAAGGTTAGCGCCGATTCAAGGGCCTGCCAATTTGCATAAAAGCCTACCAAAGTTCCAGATGCATCTCAGGGCTGACAAATGGGATCCTTGATGTAGCCTTGCTGCAACACTGCTTTTCTTGGCATAAAATTACTCCCCGTTCTTGTTTGCTGAGATTCGGTTCTTGTTTTCGGACACCCTAAACCCCAACTACTGATCCACGCACCGGGACTGGCCTTGTCAGCGGAACAAGAACCGAATCTCAGCAAACAAGAACGGGGAGTAATATATTCTCGCTTTTCTTGGACATGTTGCATCAAGATGCCTTGTTGGATGGTGGATGGACACCCACGTCACAGAGCCATTGGTTCGGGTGCGGTTCACCACTGTCGATGATCGCTTTTCAATGAACCCCGTGCATCAACCCCCATCAGCGCTGCATCAGCACTGCGCCAACGTCTACCGAATTGCCGGATGAGCGGATGCGAATGAGAGGGCTGCAGCTCTGGAGGCATGCACGGAAGGGGTTGTTCGATGGCACACTGCAGCAGCCATCTGGCCGCTGGAGGTAACATGAGCGAGGAAGCCACAGACTAATCAGGCAAGGATATTGAATCGCCGCTGGGGCCACGACCTGCAAGCCTGAGAGTCGGCATTCTTAACGCCGACAAGGATCGCTATCTACGTTAGGTGCCTGCAACACACATCTGGGGGATTTTCAGGCGCCCGATGGCCGCCGCGACCGTCAACACAGCAACCTATAATCCCTGGAGGCTCCAAGCGATGGCCGGGTGCCATCTGGCCGGAAGGTTAGTGTGCCCCAGCATCACTAGCAGCGAAAAGCGAAGGGGAGGCCGGCCCACTTTTGGAGATAATTTTGCACTCCAGCGTTCCTGAATCTCGTTCCCGTACTGGGAAGGACCCGCAAGGGTGTCGAATCCCCATTCTTCCAGTCTATGGCGAAATCCTATAGTTGTGAAATGGACCCAAAAGAACATTTTCGACACTGATATTCTGCCGTGAGGCGTAATCGCCGTTCTCTCAGCCACCAGCCAATGAGCAAGTTTTTTTTCTTTGCTGCCTTTGCACACTTTCTGATACTGCATCCCGGTTCTCGATGCTGAACCATCAGGCATACAAATGTATGGATATGATGGCGATTGCCCTTGCCACAAGTGATCGCCGATCACGGTATCCAGAGCGCATTTGCCTGCAGCCACACTCCTCTGAGTGGCGCCGCCTTTGGTGGAAGCAGATCGCGGAATTTGGCTTGCTTGCCCGGCGGCGGCACGCCGAACACTGCTCGGTCGATGCGCATCAAATAGCAGTTTTACAGGTCACATTCAAATTCCGAAAAGTCTGGCCAAGGTTTGACAGCGCAAAGCGTCATTGCAACCATAATTCTCAACGGAGGGTTCCAAATTTCGACAGCATAAAATGGGCTCATGTTTCAAAGTTCCAGCAGATATTCATGTGTTTTTTCTGCAGATTTCATTGATTTTCTGAATCTCCAATTCATGTCTGTGTCAAGATAATTAACGCTGAACCCCTGAGTTGGCTTCGCCAAATACACGAGCTATCTGGAGAAAACTATGCAGAATGAAAGATACTGTGCAGAAACATGATCAGAAGTGAACGCGAAACTGGAGTAAATGTGAAGCGGCGGGAAAAAGCACAGGGAAATTTGTGCCTGCATTCAAAGTGACTCTGCTATCAGGCCATCGTTTCAGGGTCTTAAAGTCAACTGGTTTGTTCATATTTCATATTCGTGTCAAGCTCCACTTTGCATCCTGCGTCACGCTCTCAGTCGAGACAGCGATTGAGGTTTGGCTACCGTGTTATCACTCTGATGGCTGAAGCCGTATCGGCGCTTTGATCTGATTTCACCATGAAGTTTCTGTCAAACCGTTTGTATGCCCGCATCGGCACTTGGTCGGTCGGACGCCCAGTCTACACAGCACAAATTTTGCGATTTTCGCTCTCTGTGTAGGTCAAACACAAACTTCGAACACGGTTTTAGTAATTTAGGGCCTGCGTCTGTGGGTTGTTGGTGCCCGTGATGATACTGACTTTGTTGCTAGCAGGGAATCCTGTTCGTTCGTGTCTTTGAACATCTTTGTTCCTGAAGTTGCCTGACAACAGAGTGGCGCAAAGGATTTGCAGCACGGATTAGGTCCATGGACCAGTTCCAATACTTTCCTTAACCAACACAATTAGCTCCGAGTTGGAGACGCCTGATGACAAATAGGATCAGTTCTGCAGTCGCCTTTTTGCGCATTTCCGGGCAAGTACTGTGTGTGCAGGTTGTACTTTGAAAATTCGAAACTATGGCTGGGCTAATGCACAACGCGAAGCATTCCGGATATTGGGATGGAGTTGAAGGGACTTGATGGTAATATGATCTTGCATCAATCATATTCAGTGTCAATGCCGGGTCTATGCATCACCGTACCAGCAACGCTCTCGTTCGTCAACGCTGCTGTGGTTGCCAGCATGGGCGGCCCTCATAGTGACAACTATCTGCACGGAGAAGCTCTATAAACTACAGATGGTGACGTCCAGCTGTTGGTGGCTTGTACATCTTTTATCTGTTAAGATATAATCAGATATCGTGGATGTTCTTGCATATTCGTAACTGCGAGGGCAAGAACGGTGTGCGGAATCAGATTGAATTTCAGAGCAACGAATCTGGCCTCGAAATCGCGCCGACAGGCATTGCTGAATATAGTCGCTAACTACAGTTGGGCCATGTTCGACATAAAATAATTGTTGCGGATCTGCAACGAGCAGTAACCCAGGCCGCGTCTTCGTTCCCAGGGCTCCCTCGCGTCAAGGCCGGTCCTAAGCTGTTCCAATTCGGGATTCGAATTGGAGCCCAAGTGCGATGCGACTGCCGCTTGTGCTCATCGTCAATTTGGATTCGCTCTCTTGCGCCTTTGCTATGGCAAATGCCGCGCATCCGCTTTGTGCTGGTATCGTACGGCTCGCCCTTTGCCAGGATCGCCAACGGGAGTTTTTGCAGGTAGAAACAGCTGGATAATGACAACCGCACCATATCCAGTAGTTTCCTATTTCAGTGGGAGCCAAAGCCACAACCAGACCGTGCTAATGTTAGCGGTGTTCAATCTTCAGGAAAATTTCTCCTGGAGAATATGGTACAACAACAGTTCTTTTTGGCTGTCAGAACACTGCACCAATCCTCATTCACCAGGAATGTTGTTCTGTGTCTTTCCTGGGGGCGGTGAAGTTGTGAAGGCGCTCGTATGAACCTTGCAAAATCACATACGGCTCAACGCGGCTAAATTGAGCCAGAACAATAGCTGTTTCACCGCCCAGGATTGCTATTAACGCCGTAAAAGCTGAACATATTTACGTTTTACTCCAAAATATAGTTTTTACGTATGTGGGCATAAACAGGCGTAAATGTACGTAAATACAACATAAATACAAGCCGTACACACAGACTTGGGGGGCCCGGGAGGTGGCAGCCAGACGCCTTGCAAGGAGCGGAAAACGAGCTTTTGTTCCACGTCGCCGTTGCCCTCACCGAGGACGAGGTGTACGCTACGTTGCAGCCTGCCTACCGTTTTTACTAAAAACGTAAACGTGAACGTAAAAACCAAGCCTGGTTGCAGGTGCTCAAGGGGCGGAGGAATGATCCTTGTACGCGACTTTCATCTGTGACCTGGGTGTCGCAGCGAGTCATAAGAATGTAAATACAGTCGCCGAAACAGCCACTTTTGCAATTTACGCTTTTGCGCGTAAAAACACAAACGCAAAAACGTGAACGTAAACGTAAACGCAAATAACAAGTTTGATAACCGCTGCATCCCGCACGTCCGGGACCCCATAATCGTTCAGTCCGTATTGGCGGATTGCATCCAGGATATTTGTGCCTAGGATATTCCAACATCTTCCGTTTCTTATTCAAGCTCCAGGACATGGGTTGGAGGACATGAGAACTCCCATATCCTGGATGCGGCACTGTTTGCAGCATAGAGGTAACGTCGTTGCAACATGAAACGGGTTGCGACAACACACAAAGGATACTGCAGCAGCCATCGGCCGCTGAGCTGCCAAGCAGCCCCAAGACAACATGTCAAGATTGCGGTCCTTTTGCTGAAACCGAGGTTGCGACGACACAGAAAAGCAGCACCCTAACTTGCTGCAGAATGTGTGGGAAAACTGCATTTTCGTGAACAGATGTTTGGTGAAAAGAGAGTGGCTGTCAAGGTGACGTGGTAGGGTCTGACTCATGCTACGCTGTGCGTACGCATTTGGGATTCATTTTGTCATTTGTATATGATGTACAATCTTTAGCGGCCCATTCACCGCGCCCGGGAAACTTGATGCTGCCCGGACTGGCGGTGCCTGCAAGCGTAATGTCACGGCTGCCATCTCATCAGTCTGGAGTCAGGGCGCTCTGGCCACCAGAAAGCGTCAATATCGGCAGAAAAACGATGTCAGTAATGGCACCCATTATTGCATACTGCCGCGCCCGAACCCAAGCCCGTACCCAACCTTTGGTCCAAGGCTGGTCTGCACCGGCCCATGCATGGTACACATCGATGTGTACGATATCGTACACAACGATGTCAACAGCAATCCCCTTCCGACGCAGACGCGTATCTGACACGTGTACATGCCTCCACATACCCACACCCACTGCAGATCACACACAACACAGTCAACGGGAGGCGTGCCGTGTGCCTCTCGATTTGGCAGATTTGGGCCAATGGGATGACGGGAGGCCTCCCGCATACAATTGACACCCCCGTCGGGTTCACCCGTCGCAACACACAGACACAAGTGGAGACGGGTCAGGGTTGGGCGGCTGGGAGCCAGGTTCCGCGGGAATAGTAGGGTCTCCGCACACGCGGTTCCTCCCAGGAACGAGGGCCTCAACTTTGCAGGCGTCACACACAACGATGTCAGCAACAAACCCCCTTCCGACACAAACACACCTCCGCGGGCACCCAACGGAAGCGCACCCCCGCACCGCCCGACATGCATCCTCCCGTTCCGCCACCTCCACGTTGCAGGGGTCACACCCAACGATGTCAGCAACACCCCCGCTTCCGACACAAACACACCTCCGCGGTCCCTCAACGGAAGCGCACCACTGCACCGCCCGACATGCAGCCTCCCGGTCCGCCACCTCCACGTTGCAGGGGTCACACACAACGATGTCAGCAACACCCCCGCTTCCGACGCAAACACACCTCCGCGCTCCCTCAACGGAAGCGCACCCCCGCACCGCCCGACATGCAGCCTCCCGGTCCGCCACACCCACTTTGCAAGGGTCACACACAAGATGTCAGCAACCACCCCGCTTCCGACACAAACACACCTCCGCGGTTCCCCAACGGAAGCGCACCCCCGCACCGCCCGACAAGCAGCCTCCCGGTCCGCCGCCCGCGCCGCCTCCCCGGCTGCTCAATCCCTTCCCCTCCCGGCACATGCGGCCGGATTGTATGACCGCAGGCCCGCCAGCACACCACCCCATCAGATACTCAAAAGGATGTTCAAACACATCAAGGGCCAGTGCACACAGAGGTTCGCCCCCTTGTTGCCCCAGCACGCCGGCCCACGGCTCACCCCGGCCATCCCCTCCCAACCCCGCGTGGCCCAAAAGACACACCCGGAGGCCATCTAGGATCGATCGCTGAGATGAGATTCAGGCGGGCGGCCGTTGCGGCGTCCCTGCTGCTGGTGTGCTGCCAGATCGCTGACTCAGCTGCCCAGGGGGATGGCGATGCGGGCTACGGAAGCAAGCACGGGAAGCCCACCCCGCCGCCCATCCCGCAGGCGGCGCCCAAGCTGCCGCGGCCGCGCTGCCTGACGCCGGAGGGCGAGCCGCGAGACTTCGAGGGTGCGGTCCCCGGGCCCCCCAATCGAACCTTCGCCAATTTTCCGAGCCCGATTGGTTTTCCCTCCCGATCGGATCGCCGCTTCGTCGCCCGCAAATCCCCGCCAGGGCAGCGGACGTGCTTTCCGCGTCCGTGGCTTGGAAGGTTTTGCCTCCGGGCGATTCCTGCGCGCACCCCTGAGAGTGTGAGTCGGGTTTTGGTTGGCTCCCGCGATTCTTCCAAGTGTGAAATTTTCCGAGTCATTTTCTGAGGTGGGCTTGCCCGCTGGGCGCAGATCTCGTCCGCCTGGAGTGCAGGCGGCCCTCGCCACCCCCGCTGCCGCCTCCCAAGGACAAGTCTGGCGGCACGCCGCCGCCGCCCACCGGTCTGACCATCACCAAGACCGAACCCCCGGGCTACGAGGACATCTCGGATTGCGAACAGGGTGAGTGGCGCTCCGAGAAGGGGAAGGAAAACAAAGCCGAGGAAGGAAAAGGGGCTCTCGGCCGAGGGGTAACGAGAGGGCCCCTCCCGCGAGGGGGTTGCGTGGGGCCCAACGAGATTGGCATGGATCGCGCGAAGGGTGGGGGGGCACGCAGCTGGTAGTTTCGCGACCGGATGTCCGCCTCATCGATGCGCTGGGCCCCGATGGCTGGGCTGGCGTACGACACGAATTGGGGGTGTGTTCGCGCCGGGGGATTTGATGTGACCTGGGCTGGCGTTGCGCAGCTGCGGGACGGTGCCCGGGCCATCAGCCAAGGGCACTGTCACGGTGACATGACACGATGGGACGTCCCGTCACCCCTTGTTCATCACGTCCCGTCGCGCCTCGTGCCCGTCGCGTCCGGTCATGGCGTGCCGTGATGTCCCATCACTGCCTGTGTCACGTGTCGCCGGCAAGTTGCCGGGCGTCCGCCGGGCGAGAGCGGGACCGTGCGCTTCCGGCGGCGCATTATTTGGGCCCATGCAGCGGGCAGCCAATCGGTCCCGCAGTGTCTACTGAAACTGGTGGACTTTGTTAGCCGGCGGGTCGGAAATTTCGCAACCAACGTGGCGCTTGAGAGGAGTCAGTTTCAACAAAGTGTAACGTGGCATAATGACTGAGCGAAGCCTAATTTTGCATTTATTTGTTAAGGCATGCGGCGGCTTTGGCCGCACGCACGCAGGAGGACCCAGCTTGTGTGTAGCGTCGGCAAACACTCTGCTGGAAGAACATTGCTACGTAGTTTAATACTTTATAGTACTGAGTCTTTATGGCACTTTGTTGAATGCTTTGCAGTACTGGGTTTGTGTCGCTTTTCCCTGAAAGGGCGGGAGGGCCCCCTCGCTCGAGCTGGCAGGGCACAAACAAAAAAGGTTCACAAACGTAATTCCATTAGCCCTGATTTCTTTCCCAGACAGCCGTGACTAGGGCCCTGATCAGGATACAGTGGGCGCTGGGGCCGGAGACTTTCCATGTTCGACAATTGCCCCCTAACAATTAATCAAATCAAGAATTGAATTGTTCTAATCGGTCCAATCGACAGCTCACACAACGTCTGAACACAATTACAACATCCGCTTTCCACCAGGAGTCACGATAAGGGAGCTGCAGAGGAACATCATCAACGCCACCGACCAGCGGTGCGTGGCCCAGATCCTCATCCAGACTGGCAGCGTGGGCGGCATCGAGGGCGGATTCCGCATTGACCCGGACTTCAATTTCCGGCCGAACTGCGGGAAGCGGGAGTTCGACCCCGACGTGGTGGCGCTCAAGGGCGTGCTGCTGGGCCTCCTGCAGGGCGTGCCGGACAACGCGTCCACCCTCGACAAGGTCGTGGATGGAGTGGTCCCCTCCTTCACCCCGTCAGACGGTGAGAGGCGCCACCGGCCGCAGAGACACTCTGTCCTTCCTTCGAGGCTCGAGGCCCTGTCTTAATTGCCCCCAATTGTGCGCTTTCGTTGCGGTGCGTTTGCACTGCGAGCGTTGATTAGCTTCCCAGAATCGCATGTCGATACTACAAAATTTGCAGTTTTGACGTGATTTTCAGTGTAGGTTGCGTGATGTGCCATGCAGATGTGCAGTCTGGTCGGGCACCTGCTTAGTTCGAAGTGAACTGTCCTGCATGCTTCTGGCACGTTGCTTCACCGTCGTAGAAACTGCAGATTTCTGTGAAACTCCAGACAAATTTGTTTTCCAGAAGTTTGAGGAGCGCCATCCCAGAATCGGCCCAATGCATGATGTCATGCGGTTTTTCCACAATTCGCAATAGGCTTCTCGGGCCAGGAAAACCAAAAATTTTCACTGCCGTTGTCTTTGGGTTGGAGAGGAGAGCACACCTTCGAATGTCTTTCACAGTGAAATTGTACTGAACTTCATACGCCTGCAGCAACGAATTAAATTGCCACACACAGGGACATCAGCGGCCCAGATCCGTGGGATCTCTAAATCAGAAAATGGCCAGAAAATGGCCATCGCTTCATACGTTTTTTGAGTGATTTGTGATGCGAATGCAAGTTGAGTGAACTTGGCAGTGCAGACATGGCTAAAAACTTTTGGAACTGTTTTTCTTTCTGATGGTACTGGCCATCCCCATGGGTTGCCAGTGTATCCACGAAAAGTCAATGGCCGAAAAAAGGAAAGCAAAACAGTGGGCGAAACTTCCCAGCCCCTCAGGGGGCGGGAATGCAGTCGCACGAACGTGACACTGGGGGCTGACCGAGCTTTGTGATGCGCTGCCCCGTGGAGCAGAAACGGTGAAGACTGACAAGTACAAAGACAAGAAATTCATGAGCGTGGACAGAGACGCCTTCGCGGAGCTGCTGAGGAACAGGACGCTGCTGCTGGAGGCGTTCAACGAGGATGCCAACAATTCTGTGAGTGGCGCAAGAATCCTTGGCCAACGCTTGGCCAACTGTGACCAGCCTTTGGCAACTTCTGTCTATCTTTCACCTCTGCGTCAGCTTGCGAACAATTTTTTCGTAAATTGCAATGCGCTGATGAGTTCAAACGGCGTGCATGTGTACTCAATGATCCCGTCGCCGCTCTTGTGCAATGCAAATGCACGACTTTGAAGTTGATGTCATGTTTGTGTGGTAGTGGACGGTCAGCGACCCGTACTTTCAATTGACACATGTGACGGGTCTGTCTTGCTATATAAAGTACGGCAAAGCGCTTCAGCAGTAAAAAGTGCAGGAACCACAGAAAACACAACAGGGACGACGCGCTGTTAAGCTGTGTACCTATTTGCCGGCAAAACGTGATCACCCACGTTGTTGTCTGACGGCTGCTGTCCGCGTGCCATGCGCCAGCCCCCGTGCTACAAGCCTCCCCCCCCTCCTCCTCCGAAGAAATATCCCTCGCCTTCGCCTCCGCCGAAGAAATATTCCTCGCCTTCGCCCCCGCCGAAGAAGTATCCCTCGCCTTCGCCGCCGCCACCGCCCACCTACGAGGCCGGCGCCGGTCGGCGACTCCTCTCCGGTCGACGACCGCTCGACGGAACATTCTTCGGTTCGTCGGCTCGTCGCCTGCAGTGCGCCGACTGCGACAACGCCGACAGCTTCCCATGCGCCTACTGCTGGCAGCAGGACATCTGCGGCGACCTGTACTGGTGCCAGTGATTTTTCGCTGACCGTGGGTTGAACCCTGGTGAGCGTTGGGCATTTGGCACCGTCTGTGTGGGAAGTGGCTCGCGTTCGGCGGTGGGATATCGGCTGGGTCATTAATTAGCTAAAGAGCGTGGCAGGCTGCCACGCTTACAGGAGGATTTGTCACTGCAAAACTCTGTTAAGTACCGGGTCTCAGGTTAAGTTCTCCTGAGAGAGCATTCCTAAGGGCTGGTGGCTGCTGAGTTGTGCGCTTTCATCGTTGAAATTCATGGGCTTGCACTTTTTGCGTTTCTTTGACGTTAGTGGTGGGAGTTTTGGGGGAGCAATCTCGCATAGCGGCGCCGATATGCGCGAGGCCGCAGAACTTCATCTCAGCCCCAGTAGCCTCTCATTTGGAATAGAAAGTTTCATTTGGGCAGCTGCGTAAATGTAATTTGTAGGTATTCACAGCCGCGGGCGCGCCTGATGCCTTCATTTACAAACTGCCCATTGCACACTCTGTGTGTCTGCGCTTGTACAATGAATGAATTTGGAGAGCCGACAGCAAGAAATAAGTCAAACGGGACGCACTGCGCATTCTTGACGATGGCCATGGCGGCGCCTATTCTCCGGTGCTTGGGAAATGCACCTGCCATACTCATCACCCGCATTCCTTCCTCGTTATTTCTATTCACGATTTGAAACGATGGATCCTTCCCTCGAACGGGAATTCTCCGAGTATCTAACTCGTTGTGAAGAAACGCGCCTCTAGTTGATTTAGCTGATTGCCTGAGCGTTGTATTTCAGACTTCAGCACTGGCCAGTGATTTTTTGTCTTTTTTGCGCAACAATCCATAGTCCATTTCACTACCAAAAAATGGCACAGCATCGCGGCTCGGATCATGCAATCTGGCCCACTTCCTGTGCGGTCTGCACTCGCAGTGGCGCTTGCCTCCGTGTCGCAGCTCATGGGCAACAAAGCTCGGAACGTGATGTTCTACCAAAGGGTGTCAAACAGTGGCAGCCTTGTTATATGCAATACTTTAAGGTCCTTGGACATGGTCGATCTGACATGGATCCAAAGGCAAATGCTCTTACAAGCCATACAAAGAGGAGCCACGAAACAATCGGTGTCCACTGAACTGTACCAGGTCACCGATGGCCTGTGAATTTGTGCCTGCCACGAGTTCCATCACGAAATGCACCCATCATGCCCGCCCATTAACAGCAGAATTGCCGCCGGCCGTGCTGCAGCTCGCTGCATCCTGACGGGATTGCTGACCCAAATCAGAAACTCGACTGTCTCTCGTTCGAAGTACTGACCAAAGTATTAGCAGCTCAAGTACAGAAAATATCCAGCTTCAAACCAGTTCATACAGGCCTTTTCCAACCATTAGCAAACTCAGCAATAAATTTCACTCGGTGTTCTACTTTTGACCATAAAAATCAAAGTTCTGTTGCATTTGCACGCACCAGGAATTCCTGCAAGGAGTCCGGTGCAAAGTTCGACCGATTCGGTAACAAAGTACAATTGTCCAATCAACTGAGAAAAAAAGCTAAGAAAGATAGATTTCCTCTAGAACGTTGATGTCGCTGTCAATTAAATGACGCCCTAATCCGGCAGTCCATGGTCAAAGCCAGGCATCGGAAACTCTGTTTTTGCGAGAGTTGTAAACGGCTCAGTGATTTGCAGCTCTTGCTTGTACTGAATTCGCCTGAAAGTGTGTTCGAATGAATGGCCCTAACTTCAAGGAAAGCGCCATTAGGCCTTGAGATCACACAGCGTCTGCAGGACGTCGTTGGTAAGACACCATCCGTGGATACCAGATCACTCCGAAACGGCAATTGAAGTGCAGTGTCATGACGTGCCCATGGATGCAAAACTTCGACTTCACTCTCAGATTCCAGAACCATTGGTCTCACTTTCCACCACTGAATTTTTTTCTTCGATTAGCGCACGAATGCCTTGCCCGTACGTCGAAGCCTTTAAGCGCCGAAAGAGGTGGCGTCGAAAACGAATCAACGGCATCAACAGAGCCAGCTTTGTGGTCCGTCACCAGCAACCCGAACACCCGGGTGTGGGTGACGTGCACCATTGCCTGCCACTTGCGCCTATACCGACCTCTGCTGCACCGAGGGGACCCAAATTCACACCAGAACACGGCACCCAAAGATGTGTACGCAGCGTTTGATGCAATAGCAGAATTCGCTGCCCTTGTCCTGTCGCTCTTGACTCAGCGGAATCTAGAGCTCAAGACCATCCGAAGAGTCTTGAGCACGCCTGCCGGTGTGGGTGCGGGGTTTTCCTCATCTTGCCCACTGCATCGACTTTGCCGTCTGTTAAACATAACATTAGTCACTTAGTCAGAATGGACTCGTGACCAACCCTGGAATGTGAAGATGGTGACTGAGCTTTGTTGTATGTCGCCTTATATTGCGCGATAGATGCCTGGCAGGAACCGGTCTGCTCACACTTCAGATAGGCGTAGCTGAGAGGAAGGATATTGTGAAGTGTCCACTGAAAAATAGTGCGAAGGCTTGTGACTGATGGTCGAGGGAGCGCTGAGGATCCTGCCGGGAGTTTTCGGTGTGATTGGCAGAATTGTATGCTTGCTAATGCACCCAAGGGGATTCTCATGAATGACATCGGACTGGAAAGGCAGTTGACATACGTAGGGCAGGAGTTCAGGGCAACTGGTGCTGATGAGGAGAGCGGCAACGATCTCGAGGGCGTTGCACATACTGGACTTGTATAAATTGCAGGAACACTTGTCCTGATGACCTAGTTGGAAGGGCTTTGGAATGTGCATGTCCTGTGACAAGGAAACACTGTGCCCATACAAGGGTCAAGGTAGCTGGAGACGATCTGCCCGATCTGCTAACACGTGCGATTAGGAAAGCAAGCTGCCATAGCTGCAACAAGATCTGCCAGCATACTTGAATGTCTGACGCAACCGGCAATCAAAATTAAAGAATTACCTGTCAAACGCTATGAGAGCGGGACGCTAGGCCTGTCAAATATGACAATGTACGGACAACCAGCTTGTTAATGATCTGGACATTGATGCACCCGTTCGATAACGGAGTATGTCTCCAGCGCTGACATGAAAGTTTCCAACAGGTACCCGCCCTCTGAAGGGACATTGTTCATATCCCCGGTTTGGGCGTCAAATGCGCTGCCATAGGTTTTGGGCAAAGGCTTTGTGTACGAGGTTTCAGTCAGCAGAGTTGCTGACGTAAACTGTGTGTGAACTAATGCAGTGATATGGAATAGTGGGACAAGTAAAAACTGAAGTCTGAACGCTGCACGTTCAAAGCAAATGTTAAGGGCGGGTCCTTATCATATCACAGAACCAGCATGGTTCATGACTAACGCTGGTGCTGACCGTCCCCATACAGGGGTGTTCAGGTCAGAAGAGGAATGAGATGAAATGTCTAATGAGTCACGCCTCTATTTTGGAGGAACAAAAGGCAGGATTTGGCTGTCGCAAACTGGCTGCAGATCATCGTGAGGGTGGCCGGACTAAACAAACCCTGATGTCCACTGTTCCATGCTCCTTGGTGATTAAATGAGAAGCACTACACGGTGAAAACTGTCCAGAGTAGCAGAGGAAATGCCCCAGCGACAACCCCTTCGTTGAACGTATTGGTGAATCGACACGGCTTCAATGATGGCTAGTGGCATTCGCCGCGCGGCGGCGGCTTGCCATGAGTTTTGGACATCAAAATGAAGCCACTTCCATGATCGAAAAAGACTCGCAGAAGCGCACTGGCCATGTGCGCCTTCCAAATACGAAATCGACAGAAAGAGCGAGCTGATTTCACCCAGAATAGATCAGGGAAGAAGAGGGGTCCACCTGGACATGCGAAGGAACGTGGCTGGGTGTCCACCATGACCGCCCTGGACCGTTTTATAACGGAACATTAGAATGCACCCCTCCTTTGATAGCATGGCAGGCTGCCATGCAATAATGTGTCAAAGTGGGTGGTTTTAGTACCATTTCCGTCGGCTCTAATCACTAGTAAAAAGTAGGCCAGATGACACAGTCCTGACACGGTCTGCTCAAAATCCAACTGTGTACTTTCGGCAAATGTGGTCCCAAAAGTACGCAGTTAATACACACAGTGACACAGATCTAACCGTGCATCCTAAGAAGACATGTAATCTACACAGTTTTTTGAGGGTACACGGTTGAAAATGTGTCAATGTGTGTATTAATTGTGTACTTTTGGGACCACATTACCGAAAGTGCACAGTTGGATTTTGAGCAGACCGTGTCAGGACTGTTCACTTGGGAAAAACAGGCCAGATGACATACTGAAGAGTGTACGGGTGTCGTCCCGTACCGTGGGATGCGCGTCCAACGTTGCTGTGTACCATTGTGTGTCATGTCTACCTTCGACGTCATACGGCAACCTTGGACACTGAGTTGCGGCGCGTCTCAGGGCCATACGCGCAATGGTGGCGACTTGCAGCAGCGCGCTCGAACATGGCTGTGAGAGAATGGCTGCCAAGGCTTAAGGACGGATATGGCTATGGCGGAATCGCACGGGCTACTTGCATGGGCTACTTGCACTGTTGTGCTGCTTGCAATGGCAGCGACCTACCTCGCCGTGCACGGAATTTGCATGCCCACAAGCAGGCTCGTTATTTACGTCGTAAGGACAGATTGTATTTAAGTTGTTATGCGTATAAATAGTTGTAATTTTTCACCTGTAAGAACGCGCGAAATATTGCCTTCGTCCGGAAGTAAATGAAACAACTTGTTGGCTGTCCGCATTCCCATCATGTGCTTTTTATTTTTCCTTCAAAATCAGAACAGATTATTTACTACTTCCGGAAGTAGTAGACAGAGGATCCTCTGTCTAAAATGAAATTAAAGAGTTTGTTTGGGAGGCCATATTTGTACAAACTAACTATTTTTCCTTTAAAACTTGGCCATGGAACTGATTAAAAATCTATTATAGGCTCTCAAACTTTTGCACAAAATGGATAAGCATTAGCCAAACAGTTGTACATTGAAACCACAGGA